TTTTCAGCTCTTGATATTTCGAGTAGTAATGATCACGTTTCAATGAAACTTAGCACATAGTTACTTGAGGACTGTGCAGAGACCTAATTAGTTTTTGGGTAAATATTTGTGCATATTAATCACCTTATTAGCATAAATAGTTAATTTTCAGCTTTTCACCTGATACATGTATCTCAAGTACTATCATCACATTTCAATGAGACTTGCGACATAGATATTCTAGGACTATGCAGAGACCTAATTAATTTTGGGATAAATAATTGTGCCTATTAATTACCTAATTTGCATAATTAGTTAATTTTTTGCTGTTCTATGATGTCTAAAAACCACTCATTGGATTTAAATGAAACTTTTAAAGAGTACCTGTCACATTTCAATGAACCTAAGACTATGCACCATATTAGTTTTTGGTAAATATTTATGCTTCTTAATCACCTAATTAACATAATTAATTATAACTGATATCTCAAGTATTGATCATCACATTTGAATAAAACTTGGTACATAAATGCTCTAGGACAATAAACAGTCTGATTAATTTTGGGTTAAAATCTGTAAAAAATTTTTTTGGTTCTAATCACATTTCAATGAAACTTGGTACATTGTGCAGACCTTATTAGTTTTACACTTAAATCTGTTCATATTAGTTACCTTATTTGCATAATTAGTTTTCAGCTATTCCATCAATATCTCAAGTATAAGTAATTTTGAATTAATTTTTAATGTGTCTCCAAAACTCTCAGCACACGGGAGTTCTTTCTAAGCTTTCTTTGATTTTATTTTAATGTATCCACCTCGTCTGTAGTGAGTAAATTTTTCTCATGTTCATGACCATTCGTCGTATTTATTTATTTTTACTTTCAAATTAAAATTGGCGTAAATATTCAAAGAAAATTAAAACTCATCACTACATCAATCTCGGAAATACTCAATACTCATTGCTATATTAACTGACTGCATACCACCGCGGAGAATTGACCCTTTTATTGCTCAGATCATGCATAAGTTTAATAACACTGTTTGTACGCAAAGAAAAATGTAAAGCCGAATATAAAGGTCGTTCCCTTCCAGATATCCGACTAACCAATTGTTTAAAAACAGATTTAAACTGCTTTCTTTAACAAAACAAGTTGAAAGCACTATTCATGAATAAAAAAAATCATGTCGCAACGTTTTTATCAAAACCCAGTATTCTTGATTATTCCACAAATGAATTAATTTATTTATTATTGTGTAGATACATGTGGCAGTACGTTGTGTTATATCGGAGAATGTTATACCAACGACTATGGGTCTGATATGACTTGTGTATGCTATAATGGCTGGACCGGTGGACACTGTGATCAGGGTAGGTGTTGAAACGCACAATAGTTATTACTGTTCAACATACCTTATTGTATGTTTATATTGATGTTAAATAATTTATATTGGTTAACATACCCTACGGTATTCTTATATCAGTAAAGAATTTTGTTATCGTTAACATTGTCGTTAGCTATATAATTGTTATTGATCTACATTGTATTTTTAAGACGTGCAGCATATTTTGACCCCTGTATCAAGTGTGCTTGTATTTATACTACGGTACTTGATGTCTGTTTAGTAGCCTGACATGTAGGTGTGAGTAGGCCCTCACCGGCCGAACGGCATCAGACCTCACTGTGTTGGGTTTGGAGCACTGCTGAGGGCGCAACGCGATCTCGTCAGTCTTTCTGTTTAACAGCTCAGAGAGTTTATTATTGTACTGTTACAGATAACAGTAAAGCTGAACTGGTCGAGACAAGCATGTTGATGCTAGTTATGACTGGCTTAGTCATATTTGCTGGATGATATATATACCTCTTCCACAACTGACCAATTTCGGGAATTTTGTGTTCTCGATATTCCGTCCTATTGCGTAAGCCACTTGTAACATTTCAAAGATGGTCCAATACGGTGCAGGGTTTCGCAATTTTCAAAATCAAATATTGAACTGGAGAACGATTTTAGTAATTATTGCACGGTCATTTACCTCTGAATATAGAATTCACATGGAACAACAATTTTAATAAATCAACTGGCTCAATGCGCTTACCCGTCTTCACCCCCCCCCCCACTTATAATTAAAATACATATATACATGTTTACCTTCTTCATTACTCACTATAACATGTAGCGATCGAAATAGTCAATTATTTCTTTTCAATTGTTGTTTTATATTCATTGTTTTGTTTTTACACTTAATAAATTGATTTTTAAATTAGTGTTGTTTCTCGTTTTTGTATTATGAATAGCCTACGATAAAACACAGATCACATATTCTACATGTCTACCAATTCTACCAATCTTCCATGCTGTGTTTGAAAATTGAATAAGATGTTATACTTTTCTCAAATATTCCAAAATATTTGTAACAAAGTACATCTGCACAAATCTGGCCACAAAGGAATTACAAGGGTGGCATCATGCGCATTCTCAATCAGTAGGTATGTGCCAAACGAAGAGGACAATAATGGAACCTGGTTTGCCGTGTTATAAACAGTACGTTTTGTTGTAATTGCTTTTTCTACAGGCTTATCTAAATATAGGGTTAAAAGTACAACAGAAGTACTGAAAATTGTTTTTCAGCTATATCCATTGGCTATTGCCGATAATAACATTTCTAGAACGTGACAAGTGTAGAGGTGATGACCATAGCCGTGCATTTAACTAACAAAACCCCACCAAAGTGCACAAAAACAACCTTCCTACTTAGACCTTAACATGCCGCGTGCTTGTTCACCAAAAGTGAACTCTACAGTGCGCCGCTTACGATTAATTGCTTTCAATCAGGGGTGTATTCTGCCCTCGCCCGATAGGACTGAGCACCACAATAAGTTCGATGCTTTCGCTGTATGTAACGTTGAGCAAATGTCACATAAAGTTGTGAAATGAGACTACACAAAAAACAGCCAATTAGTGAATTGAAATATTACCAATTCGTAAATGTAGAAATGGGTAACAAGACAATATCCCAGCACCATCTATTGAACATTTTCACACTTAAAGTTGCAAGTTCATTGTCAAACAATAATTGTCGTTCAATAGTAAGTAATTTGCATACAATGAAATTAAATAATGGGGAAGTACTGGTTTACATATTTACTAACATATATGTATGACATGGTGTAGACCATAAACAATACAGTGTGACCGACAGGGTGGCGTGTTGTCCATTAAAGAGAACCTTGTTGTCTTACGGGTGTTAAATGACTTTCAACGAGTTTCTTTCTTTCTACAATAGAATCTTCACAATGCATTAAGAGGAAAGTATATTCCAATTTACTGCTATACACATCCTAAATTTATATAACTAATGTCAACAAAAATACAGGGACATGCCAGGGAGTGTAAGTAACTTTTTAAGGCTGCCAGGGCCAGGGATGCCAGTGTAATTTATTATAAGTATAAGAGTCAATTATTTATTCTTGTTTTATTACCTGTAAATTTTATTACAGTTTCTTCCAATCTTATAATTTTTTAGTGCACTATGAATAACTTATAGTTAATTAATTTTGTGAATGTTTACTGTGAGTGCTGTTCTCGTGTAAATTTGCGAACCAATGTATTAGAGTTACGTGAAGGTTATTGGATTTTTACAAATGCTAAAAAAAAGTTACATTTAGATATATGAACAAAGGCAAACATTCTCAAGGTTCAATCAAATTAAAATATTGTTGGTGTCTTATTCAGCCCTATCCTCCGTAGCATATTGTTCTTTGGCCTCTTTGTGTACTTTTGTCAACAGCACCCCCAACAACTGCTGGGATTCCATTGAAAAAAGAAACGGGTCTCCTTAACAACAAGAACTGTGTGATCCCGATTCATTCCCGAGGTTCCTACCACCAAACAACAATTTCAATGAATATCGTAATGGTATAGTACTTTTTGTATGCGATATAATAACAGACAAGTCGTATACCGTGGTTTCCAGGTGATATTGCTCCACATTTAGGTTTTCTGCCATTTTGTAGTGCACTAAGTCCTGCGACACGGACGAAAATATTTAGGTAAGTTATTACTCTGACAGTTTGACCACATATTCTAGTAATTTTATTCAATGTCCACTTACATCGTGAAATGTTTTATGCAACGTTGTTTTGTTTTGTTTTCAAATTACCGAACGTTATTATACGGCTGTTCATTATATCGTTCATATAGTTTATAATTGTGGCTCGGTGAATGTCGCTTGGGTAAATTTATTCGATACATTTATTTCTCAATTTTGGTTCTTTGACGAGTATACCACAAATGTGTAAACAGAATTGGGAATTAGAATTTCCCCTCAATTATAATGTGAATTAGTACAATTTATTGCGGAATGTTGGTGCCATGAACTAATCGCTAGATGACAGGCGTGTGTAACTCGGAACAAAAGCCACAACGCACCTGAAGATTCGACGAGGTCAGGTGATCAAAGGTGCTTCGCGATAATCAACAGAAACCTTAATTTATTGACGTGTCATGCTTAACCCTAGCAACTTAAAATATATGATTCTACGCACGTTCTAGTTGTCTCTTTTTACAAACATTTCTTTTGAATCTTGTGAAAAGTTTGAACTACGATATACTGTCATTTTGTTATTCCCATTCCTAGTACGACCCCGACTGTATGTTGCTAAGTACCGAGGATACACGTTCAATTAGTCGGCGATATTAATTAATTTTCGGTTTTGATTACTTGATTACTCTTTAACAATTACTGCCATAAATTTGTTTTGTGCGTGTGTTTCAATCATAAAATCAAGACGATGGACTTACATCGATAATTGTAATGGTGTCGACTTTCCTTTATAGTTTTACGATGAATCTACTTTTGTACATCGTAGTGTGTTCGATATCATTGCCCGTGGCATTGACCGTCATCGGTGAGTGGTATTATTGTGTGTTGCCAGTGTTAGTTTCATAATTCTGCAAATAATGCAGAATTTCCAACAACAATGTTTACTCGAAAATCGAGTAAACATCATTCACAAGAAATAATACATTATTGAGAATATAGGGTACTGCAATTAGAAAATGATTTCTATTGTCGGTGGACGGTCTTCGCTCTAAAATGTGCTTTGTGTGAGGTATTCGCTTTTAACGGGAGTGGGCACCTAATTTATTGTGCCGGATGACCGTGCTTAATTGTGTGTGTAATCTGATCCAATGTGTGGTGCAATATTCGATGACCTGTGATGGACAGACAATACTATTTGTAAAGGAACAGGGTGGAGTATTGACGTTAAATCGTTTTTCATGCCTACAATCAACATTCCCACGTTCGTTTGACGAGATAATAGCCCCCAGTCATATATTCTGTTGATGGTATAGGCTGATGAATAAACCTGATTATGACTTATCATAAACCTAAAAAGTTTTTTTTTTTGCATTTCATAACTAAGTATTTGTTTGATGAAATGTATCTTTCTAATACGCATATACAGAATGTTACGTTCATGTGCCAATACAGTCGCTGCGCGTGCGTAATGGTATATGTCGTTTCCACCAAACAAATACTGTTGTGTGTTGCTGCAAAAAATCAACAATTTTAGATTATGATAAAATCATAATCGTATTGGTCTTCATCAAGCAGTACCAGACAAAAATATTAAATATATATATATACGCATTGCTAAGATAGATCACACCATATCTTACGTGCCGTATCTAACCTAGCTGTGTCACCAGAACTCTTCTTACATCGGTCTTTAGTCTTTGTGATAGCATTTTAGCCATTTTTAGTACATTGGGTATCCTTAAATTTGTTATTTTTAGATATTAGTGTTTTATCGACCTATACGATCTATGGTTCCTCCCATAGACGTAACACAAACGGCACAAGAAGAGCTATGGTCCCACATCTATAACTAACATGACCCTGGCGGTTCTCGCCTGTAGAATTGTAGTGCACTCCCCTCGAAACTAAATCCATACACACTTCTAGACCCATATATGCCATGTTCAGGGGACAGTTGTTTTAATCTCACATATGAAAACATCGTGAATTCAAACGTATTCCATGTATTGACACGTTTTTTTTTATTTATTTTTTATTTTCCGGTGCAGTATGTAATAACGACATATGCGTACATGCGACTTCCTGTACTAGTAATCAGTGTGTATGTGAAAATGGATGGTCTGGAACGGAATGCGGTAACTTGGGGTTAACCTTTGGAAATTCTGACGCGATTGATGGGGGGGCTGTACAGACATTATTGAATTAAAGACCTACAGGGAATAAGACAAAACACATATTTACAGCTGAATAGAACACATATATGTAAATCAGCAACATCCTGAAAAATATTAGCAAAGATTTTTTTTTTCACAGTTATTATGACCCCCCCCCCCAGAGTTTCTTATGGTCAAACCCTTATAAATATTATTTGTGGTTTTCAGTGTCAAGTGATATCAAGTTCATTTTCGTTCGTAGCTAAATATCTGTATCTATTATACCCATTATCTCAAATATTGGATTTCTCAGAAAACGAAAAGTACGGAGACCATTGCATTTTCTATTCAGGTCAATATCATTATCATATTGACTCAAATTTGAATTTGGGCATTTTAATTTTAAGCGAAGTGAATGTCTTCACACATGTTGTTGTAATTTAAGTTGTCATCGGTTATCATTCACAGAACTTTATTATGATCTTGTGAATAGTTTGTGAAATATCTGATGCTCTCTGACAATAGCTTCGGCTTCCAATTTGATCGTGTATTCTAATTCAGTTTGCTAACGCTTTGAAGATCTGTTAGTATTCGCCGGAATTCAGTCTTGTTTAGAAACAATTCAGTGCGCTCAAATTTCGACAATAAAATACTTCACATAATAGTCCCAATGCCTTTAATAAATCTCTATGAATGCTCTCAGAGTACAACTTTGACCGTTAACCTTTGATTCATTAGTTGTTTACTAGTAATATTCTTGTTTATTTCAGATGCGTGTGATAGTAACAATGGGTGCGATCACGGTGTGTGTACAGATGGGAGTTGTGACTGTGATCGTGGTTGGTTAGGCGAAAAGTGTGGTGAGTGTCCCGTCTGTAAACTTGTAATATTTAAAAATTGCGACTGTCGGCAAAATTAATTTTAAAGATTTTGGCATGTGAAGTAATATTTGTAATAAATAGACGGATGTTTTGTAGAGTGCATTGTATATGCAATGTATTAGAGGATGAAATCAACTTCATTACATCTTGTAAAGCTTACTCTTCTGAAAGAAAAACTCTATACGATAAATTTACATGAGATGGACAAAACAGAAAAAGACAATCATCAACGTATCAGATAAACATTTACTGAAAACACTAATCCAATACATTGATAATGCAAACTTGAAAAGAAGCATTTAGTAACTTTCTTTGTTTTTGATACTTTTATTATAATTAATATGTGTTCATGTTTATTAATTTAACTTTATTACCCAGAGCCCAAAAAGATTATATGGATTGTATATTGTATAATATCGCTACTATTATGTTCACCCAAAAGCCTCGCATAGGTCGTCGACCCACTGTTGTTGGTATTATATTTTATTATTAGATAATGTAACACACTCCTCGAGAAATAAACATGATAAATTTATATTTCGGCAGAAACATGCGGTTCTGGCACGTGTGTCCATGGAGAATGTGATAGTGGTTACACCCAGTGTGCCTGTAACGATGGATGGGAAGATGTCAACTGTGGTACGTGTAAATTGCACCAATTTAGTTTCAGGGTTTCTTCACATAGACAGGTCAACACACGGAATACTACTGTACAATTTGTCAATGCCAATCTATTTCAGTTTTCAATCACATAATATAACATAATATAATATGAGATTATTACGAGGATACCGAAAAGTATGCATGAAGATAGTACAGCGGCGTACTGTCTGTATTATTATTATTATTATTATTATTATTATTATTATTATTATTATTATTATTATTATTATTATTATTATTATTATTATTATTATTATTATTATTATTATTATTATACATCTTTTCCTCCTAATGATACATACTGTGAATACCGAAATCCAAAATGTTTAGAACAGAATCAGCGAATTTCATTGTGTGGAGACCCCAGGTGGCAGCCCTGTTTTTTATTATTATAGAACGCTTACGCGTCCATATTTGGAATTCGCATTTCCCAATATGGTATGATAAAAATGGCTTTACGGTGGCAGATGTATAATAATGCAGAATGATCATTGAATAATATACTACAGTAGTAATGAACAGAAACATTTGTATGTACCGGTATTATTTTTATGTTGTCAGCTTTTGAAATCACTGTTTGTTAATGATGATTTTTGTTGTTACTTTGCTCAGATATGTGTAAGATAAACGATGACGATGTGTGTCACCATGGAACTTGTAACCATGACACTGGGAAGTGTGACTGTGACGTTGGGTTTAGTGGTTACGATTGCGGTAAGACACGTTCACGTTTCAAATTGTACTTCAAAATTCAAAATTTGATTTCCTAAGCAACCACCAACTTCACGATAGCTTTAACGGGTGCTTGGCGACATTAGACGGCCACAGTTTTTACGGTAAAAATGGACAATGTTTCTGTAAAACTCATGTTCGAAAAATTTACCTAATTGCGACACCACAAATAATCAATTGATGTATAGATAATCTTAACTTTGCCTCTTTAAATGTATTTGGGTGTTATTTTATAGCTACGTGTGGGGATGGTACATGTGTGCATGGGGAGTGTACAGAAGAGAGTGGTTACACTGAGTGTCTATGTGATAGGGGTTGGAATGGAACACTCTGTGGTAGGTACAGTCCGACATCAACTCTTGAATATACTACAGTTTTTCAGCTCATATGTCCATCACCACACACACACACTTCTCTATAAGTGTTGTTCATCATAGACATCCATCCAGTGACAGTCCATGTCACAGTTAGACACAGCATAGTGTAGGGGTATAATTCATCGTAACTTTCTGGGCCGGTAAGCTATTCACAGTTAAACTGTCAAACTATATTAGAAACACCACGAGAAAATGTGAGTTTACAAAATATACAAACCCACGATTTTGGTAAGAGTTGCATGAGTGCACTGTTAGCACTAATAGTTGAGAAAGAACTCTATATCTTTGTCAACTCCAGACGGGGTATCTAAAGTGCAAAGTCTTATCCGAGGTGCAAGGTCTGATTTACAATTATAGCGTTAATTACCATCTCGTTCTGTTTCACAAGGACATACCACTGAAAACAAAATCACATACACATCTTATAATCAATCAGCAAATATTATTGCGTATTTCGAATACTGTCTAGAATGATTAAATAAAGAATCCTCATATTCATTTTCCTCTTGGTTTTTAAGATGCCTGTTTGTCTGATGATGCATGTATCCATGGTAACTGTGACACAGACACTGGTACATGTGAGTGTGATGCAGGGTGGAGTGGGTATAATTGTGGTAAGTCAAAAGTAAATTCAAAAGTGTGCTTTGACACTTTTTAAAAAAGCACATTCGACTAAATTAACCCTGAATTTTAAATTATATGTTATGTTTTTACCATGCATAGTAATTATCATTACGTCACTGCACATTACCGTAGCATGATTAATTATTTATGAAGTTGTTTGTTGTTTTCTCATTTTAGGGACATGTGGTCCTGGTACATGCATACATGGTATATGTTCTGGTTCTTCTTGCATATGTTCTGGGCCATGGACAGGATTACGATGTGGTATAAAAACAACCTTTGCTTTTCTCTTAGTGTGTACCATAAATATCTACATGTGCTGTCATTTGTTATTTAAAATGACTCCGTGATATTATTTTTATGTGAATTTATATGTTATCTTGTTCGATAAAATGTATTTAGCTAATTCATTACTGATTCATCGGTTCTTACTTCATATGTAAAACATCTTTGTTGGCCATGTAGTATTGCCATGGCTGCTGGACCCGCTCAAAGTACACCATTTACGCATATGTGTAGTTGCAGTATCTACGGTGACTTGACAATGCGTTTTTTTTTTCAAAACAAAAACACACCTTTGGGCATTTCAGGGGATTGTTTTGTTATGTAGGAATAGCCTTACCTGTCCAGATTGTTTAGTGTTTCATCGAATGAATACTGATATATTTGCTGGCAAAACAAAGGCTTTGTTTTACGATAAAATACCCTACATTTTTCATCAAGATGCAATAAAAACATTTTTTAAACATGTACATTTCCTTTTTCTGTGAATTTACAAATCAGTCATAATTGCTTTATTAATTATTATTGTGTAGATACATGTGGCAGTACCCTGTGTTATATCGGAGAATGTTATACCAACGACTATGGATCTGATATGACTTGTGTATGCTATAATGGCTGGACCGGTGGACACTGTGATCAGGGTAGGTGTTGAAACGCTCAATAGTTATTACTGTTCAACATACCTTATTGTATGTTTATATTGATGTTAAATAATTTATATTGGTTAACATACCCTATGGTATTTTTCATATTTGTGCCGAATAATTGTAATTGTCGAACAACTTTTTGTATCAGCGCTGTCCATTTTAGACTAATGAATGAAGGGTATTTATGAATATGCATTGAGAGCACGGTGATTGTTTTCTAAATACTTATCATGATTAACATACAACTATTTTTAACAGCTAAATATTTTTATTTTTGTACTGTTTCAGATGCTGGTAGAGCTGGACTAGTCGAAACAAGCATTTTGTTGCTAGTTGTAACTGGTTTGGTCTGGATGATATTGAGACATATTTGACAATTTGTGGGGTTCTGGTGCACGTTATATCGTGTCCGATTAGTTAGTTCATGGCGCAAACGCTCACCGTTTCGTGAATAAAAATAAATGAGACAATTTAATGCAGCTTTTTTTTAAAAAAAATCAGTGTATCAAATCAAATATTTGCCTAACATGCAATGGTGTTATCGATGGGTCGATCCATGTTAGATAGATATTTGGTGAACGATTTTCGTAATCATTGCACGATCGGCTGCGAACGAGGATGCAGATTGAACTACTCGGACAAGAATATTACGTGATACTGAAACGCGAATCAGCAGTGTGGATGAGCATTTAAAGTATCTTTTACTTCTTATACATTTGCTTTCTTATATTGATATCACCTATTTGTAAATATACATTCAGTATTAAACTTTGCTATCATAATGAATATGATAAAATCACGTTCTCCGTGTGACTGGTGTAAGTGTAAATATGTTGTATCACTGTGCAAGCAGGCACATATTGGGTATTTTATATATTTCATCGATTCGTTAATTTGCTGATGGGACCGGGTGATTCAGCGGGCAGATGTTGTTGACAGATACCGCATACACAGTTCGCTTTGTGTAACATACCATCAATTGCGGTTTCCGTAACTCGACAGTGCAATTCATTGCTAGCCATATCCATACAATAGTTTCCATTCACATACAGAGAATTTATATGACATTCTGTGTCGAGTACCTTAGCTATAAGCAGCTGCAACTCTGAGTATGTCGCATGTGATTGGTTGTAACTGTGTTATTTTTGATAAATCGCGTGTTCTGTCAATTTTAATTCGAAAAGAAAGTATGTATATATTTGTAATCGTAATTGTTATTGAAGAAAATTAAAGTACAGTACAAGAAAACAAACACGGTGTTATTTAAGTCAAAGTTTCAGCCATTTGAAATCATAAGGGGTGAAGCTGTGTATTTCTTCGCAGTGTCTAATCTGTACATTTTTCTTGAATGAGCCATGATTATTTTGTTTCTGTAACACGCATTATTTTCTTAGTGTCTATGTTTTTTTATAAGTCTTCCTGCCATCCCGTGATTTCGAGTGGCCGACCCCTAAGTCGGTTTTGCATTATGCAACAAATTATTTGCTTGAGCGAAGAAATATACCCAGAGAGGTTCCGTTGTTTGTTTTCTTAAACGTATACTGTAATCTTATCAAGATATTGGTTATTATTATAATACATGTTGCTACTGTATTATAATATAGTATGAGTTTTATTGATCAGAGAATACACCATTATATTTGAGAACTCCTCAAATACGCGAAGTAAATTATTGTGTAGCTGGAACTGACCCGGCCAGTCGGGAAACAAAGTAGGGAAGCAAGCCGTTCTCAGGGTAGCGTAAAAACCCGAGGCAACCGAAAGGAATGATGGGTTCCTATCGTTACTTGTAGGCATAAAGGAGTATGTTTGTACCTAGACTTGAGATACTGTTAGAAACTAAATTAGGGGCCAGTCACAATAGAAATCAATTCATACCAGATCATAATCAAAAGTACAAGTTCAAATTAAAGAGACACATGATATTTACAACCATTGGATAGTTTCTTTGTTATGTGGTGAACTGGAATTGTTGTGTCACTTTATCAGACCCTTCCTGTCACGGACGCTAACCTGGGTTAGTGTTTTACGCCTACATATACAGTTCATTTAATTATTCCTGTCACATATATTGTTGATTACCTACTACGGAGGCAAACTGAAGGGCCAATCATTTTGGAGGTTAGATAACTTACAAACCATCATTGCGATCGGGCGAAATAAGGGGCACTGCAGGAACATTGCCACACATCATTGTGGACCGCCTTCCTTTCGTTATAACTGCATATTAGCTGGGAATAACTCGCACTGCGTGAATTAAGGGCGTTCACCTTCTGTCATCGGTCCGAGAGGGAGCATAAGTTTCTTTTTTTAAGGTACTAGTACCTCTATTACAAACAAATTTCGTTGCTTATTAACTAATAACAATAGCTGGTTCTTATGTTAATTAATGAGCGATTAAAAGTTTGTCAATGTAACAATACAGCAGCTGATCTTTCCTATGCGGACAAACATTTCTAACACGAACTAATAAACTTCTTGATTATCGTGTACAGCGAAAAAATCATTTTGAATTATATTCAACATGTATACGACCAAATAATCGCTGAACTGGGTTATGACATTCAACGAATCCCTTGAAATGAATGAGAATCATACAAAATCAATACTGTAACATATAAATTATGAAAGGGCAATTTTCAACTACAAATGGAAAGTTAATTCACATAAATTTGAATATTCAGAATTACAACTTATGGACATGGTAATAAACATAGAAAAAATACTGGTGTTGTAAGAGTTTGACATTGGGCATGATAAACGTATCAAAAATTAAACCCAGCAGGACAACTTCTTGCTGCTGTTTAGGTAATACTGCGAGTACACTATTGAAATTTGACAAACAGTGACATAGATTGGAGTAAGATATTATTTGAAATTTAACTAATAGTGTCACATACAATAGGCTAAATTAGATCTTTTGTGAACGGAAGCCATTCACAGGGATCAAGCGAGTATAATTGTTGGTGTTTTATTCAGGCCCATCCTCTGTAGTAATGCGCAAGCCTTTATTATATTCGTCTATTCTTCCCATCATCGAATACTGGGATTCTGTTGATAATGAATCAGGTCTTTGTAACAACAACAGTACGGTACGGATTATTAGCTTTTTAAAGCACTGACCGCCGCATATTTTATTTTAAAAAAATAGGCGTGTAGTGCCTGCGTGAGACAATAGGAGAAATCACAGTACTATGGTAGTTTTCTCTCCAAATATCATCGTTGAACAGCAAACTTATTGAAAACCAAAGTTAAGACAGACTACTAAGGAATATTGCCGTGTCAACAATTGTATTTTGTAATACGCTGAACACTACGACGCAAGCAAACAGGTGAGTAACTATCTAAACATTTCGACAATGGTTATAATCCAGGGCTACGGTGTTTTTTCTTCGCGAATAAAGTGCTCACTTTTTTACGCGATTCTTTAGTTTTTACGGTGATGTATTGGTTTGATAATTTATTTATCTTTGAGATGTTGTCAAATTTGCTAACAGGTAAAAACTGCCTAGTATCTCTTGTTATACATGTATCAGACAAATTTTGAAAAAAATATAAATTTTGAAAACACTTACTGTTTAATACTTGAGAGCGAAGGTGAACAACTATGATATCCTGTAAGTAGGAAATTTGAGTTTATTGTGAAATCATACAACTCCAATATACTAAGTATTGTAAATCATAGACGAATACCAGTAAAGTTATCGACTGTTGGGTTCCGTCACAGTGACCACAGGGGCAACTAATTTATTGCTTTTTGTATGTGTAACCGAGGCAACTAGCTTGGAATATGTGACTCCACTCTTTGTTACTGGTCTGTAACTAGTTGCATGCATTCAGTACATTTCAAAATACGAAAAAAACTGTATTTTTTTAGACCTATCACCGTATCACGGTGACACGTCAACAGACTGCCGAATGTTAATTATTCAATTATTTTATGATATTTTGGCTTTAGTATTATATTATAACTATGTATACGTTGCGGTGTAATTATTATTATTGAAATTATTATCAATGTATCACGTGTTTACTATTCCTATTTTATGTTCCCAATTGCCGTTGGTACGAAGCGTTGCTACGTGTTTTCGTTGATATCAGTAGTTTATTTAATTATCCATATATGTAATTAAATCATTTACTAGTATTTCTCGACAATTGACATACACTCCTGTCTCGAATACCTTCAGTGTGTATCACGTGTCGCATACATTTAACTTTAATCACTGTTTTTTCAATTATTAGTTTAATTGCACATTTCAATCACGTACTGAAGTTGTTAAGTTTTACACTAATACTACTGACTGCTTCTATGCCAACGACTACATGGTACACTACACCAAAGGTAACCACGCACGCATTCCAATACACAAACGATGGAATCAAGATCACGAACTTCCATAAATAAGTGTTTATGTATTATTTTTTTCTTTTCACAGCTATAAGATGCGGTTACTGGTGTACATTTCACTGTGTGTGCTGTCATTGTCTCTGGTACAGGCACTCAGTAAGTAATACGGTTCACTGTCAAAAATCAACGTCAGCTTTCAGAATTTCAATAAAAGAACCAGTTAAACATTCTTCCGATTCTTCATCGTGTAATAGCATAGTGTTGTTCCACTAGATAATACAATCTATACATTTAGCCCGAGAACGTTCTTTTCCGAAAGCCGTCGTTCCATGTAAGACTATTTACGTATTCGATGACAGATTATAGGTTAATGGCGCGTGCTTTCAACGCGTCCTTTGAGTGTGAATAGAGACGCTGACCCGTGCTAAACAATGCTATTATATTCTTAACGGTTTATTCCGCTAGCAGGATGCTAGATTTAAATTCACAGTCAGGAATTTGAAGGGCAATAGCATAATGCCATAAGGCGAAATACTAAGATGAAAAGTCCTACGAATGCGTTGTCCTGAACCTGAAAGTATTATTATATACATCCCAACACACGCTCATTTATTACCGCGCCATCTTGCGACGAAGCGCTTTCGTGATGTCAAAATGGCGTAAATGGTTGAAAGCAAGTAGTTCACAACGATGGCTGTGTTTGTCATTTAGAATAGTGTAAATTTAAAAAAAGCAAGATTTATTTATTTTTCGGACCACCAATATTGACGCTATCCTGGGGGCGGAGTACGTCATAAGACGTTCCACGTTGCTAAGACGCGCACAACTGTGTACCACGTATTTCTCGAACTCCGCACAGTTCGATACGCGTCACTTATCATCACTGCACAAAGCAGCTTTGCATAGAACTCATTTGCATATTCGAATATGTTCGAACTGCAAGACCCTGTGGGTTAACAAAGTTATGCGTAAGTCACTCGGTTACTTTAATCGCTTTCATAGGACGTTTCATGCCATGGCTCCGAATAAATGTCCCGTTAATTAGATTAAAATATACATGAATTGCGTTAGAAAAGTGCAATTCTTTCCCAGATGAGAAAGCATTAGATTGTACAATAAATGACTAACTTTATAAATTTACAAAAACCTTTGTGTTCTATGGCAGTTAGACGCGGAAAATCGAACCCGTTCAAGCCAGAAATAGTATTGAAATATTCACCAGAATACAAGATGAACGGAAATGTTAGGAAACCCCTTTCAGTGAAATTAGTATTTAATGTTTCTTTCCCAACTATATTCGTTAACAGAACGTTTTTTTCCCTCCAAGTTTTGGTGTATCACGCGCGCCATTTCACTACTATAACATTACCTTGCAAAATATAGTCCGCGATAAAATGGTTCGTATTTACGTTTTTACTGAAGTCTGACATTATAATAGTTCGGATGTCACATACGTTTTTTCC